GTATTCGTGTTGTAAACACTATTTATATCAGTTGGACCACCCTAATCCAAACCCATGTCTACACCACTGCTCGTCATCGCGGTCTGCATGTGGGCGCTGTCGGTGGCACCGCCGGTTTTGAAGCTCCTAGAGTGATATTGTTGCGCTGGTGTGTAGCATCAGTGCAACACGTTTGACGAGGCGCCAGTCTGCCAAGGCGTCCTTGGCCACACGGGCGCCATCAACAAACATGTGTTGCATCATTGCGCGCCCTGGAGGAAGAAAGCTAGGGTTTAACTGGTGAGGAAGAAGAGAGCGGGGAAGAGAGGTCTTGAGTAGCCAAGGCATGAGATGGCCTTTTATAGCCGCGTCGCGGCAGCTAGCTGCAGTTGAATGTATAATGGAGCTGCCCAGCTGTATTTCCCCGGCTCAGGGCATCCTTCCACTCGAGTCGAGTCCTAATCATGTAGCACTTTTGCCCAGCAATGCTAGATCAATGAGCAATGCTAGACAGAAAGTCAGATTGAGCGTTGTTACCTACCGGTAGATCCTGGGCTGCCCGTTCGCGTCGCGATTCGCGTAACCGATGGCCCACCTCGTTGTATACTTCATGTATAGCTCAGCCCATGTTGCAGTACATGATTTTATTGCACGTCATATCTCGCGCGATAACACGGAGGACTAACTTGTGAGCCTAAATATATGCTTTTGTATCATTTTGATAAGAGCAGATCACCTACATTTATTTAACCTTTTAGAACATTTTCTTTTCTTGAACAACCGAAACACATTAATTCACAACTTCGGTATTCTTCCTTTTCACACAGTAACACAACATAGATAGACTGGCATGCAAATCTGAGAAATAAAAATCAAACGATTCATGCACGGCGAGCCAATGTGAATGATGAGGAACGCTCTGCTCGTGTGAACTATGATTCAGAAGAAAACAAAATCTGCAAGGATGAGTGATACAGAGATATTTATGACACTATTAACTAGATTAAGACCACTGATTAGTTCTCACTTAGTGGAATGATAGCACTTTCATCTTTTTCGTGACATTTGATTGGTCTCGGCACACAAGCTCTTTTTTTACTTGTTCAGAACTCAGGCACACGAGCTTGGGCTCGTGCTTTTCCACGTACGTCTCATTGTACGTACACACATAATTTTCAGCTCAAACTTGCACTCAACTACCCTTCGTTTTACACACGTGATAGGACCAAGTTACTGTCATGTGTCAAATCAATACCTCTGTAGGGATAGCTCTAAATAATAACCATTCGATAAAGTCGATTAGAGGGTAGAGAGGTGGTAGATCCGAGTGTTGATGATCGCTGAATATTCTCTTTACAACACTAGATTCTGCCACCGGTACTTTCTCAAATATTCTATGGTTGGACTTAAACCTCATGGCCATTTTTTACAAAATTTAAAACACACTTATACTTTGTTCTAGAATTTTCTATACTTAGACTATCCTAACTTCTTTACTTAGGTTTTGTTCTAGACTCTTCTAGAATGGCCTATCTTATGTCACTGTTGCAGGACTTTATGCCTTTTGGCGGAGATGGATTCGTGTCTCCTCATCGGGGGTCACACCTTCTCCACTCGAAGGGCCTATGATATTCTTGCGCGAGAGGCCGAGGTGGACCAAAATGCTGGAAGCAATTGGGTTTCACATGTTCCTAACAAGATCAAGGTGTTTGCATGGCTACTATTTCAAGATCGCCTAAAGACGAAGGTCATCTTGCGCACACATCATCCCCCAAGCATGATTGCCATTGACGTGCCAGCTCACCGGAGATTCCGATAATCTATTCGTCACATGCCCCCTCTCTGATGGAATTTCACAATGACTCGGTATCTCCTCGGCCTCTCTCTCTCCACCATCAAAGATTTGTGGGATGTTTCTCTTCCAGCTGGTCCAGAACACTCTACATGGCATTTTGTTCTAAATTCTATCCTTTTGGAAAATTTTGGATGCTAGGAATGCATTGACCTTCACTCCATTACGATGGTCAAGCTAATCATCGACAACAGTGACCTTTTTTCACATAGATTGGTTAGACAGTGTGACAAGGATGCTATCTTCTTTTATGTATTTTATATGTTTCACTTGTAATCTATGGCTCGCCGTACACTCCTTGAGTAATATAAATAGAGCAATAGCTATTTTTATTATTTTATGTTAAAAAGTGCTATATGATATACTTTAAAAGCACACCTAGACAAAACACACTCGATATATTTTATCCTAGTTTTACATTTTGTACTTCATGCATATGCCTTGAATTTTTCATTTATCTATTATAACAATTTACGGAACCATAGATGTAATCTGATTACCTAAATTGCAGGTATAATTTACTGGTGTCAAGTAGTAGTGGTACTGCGGCAAGCCGCATCCTCTTTCCTTCTCCACTCCACCCGTCGGCGCCGCCGCCGGTCCACCCCATCTCGGATGGCCTTTGGGCCATGTAGGTGAGGAGGAGCTCGGCCTCTCGCCAGCTAGAAGGACCTCACTTTTGTTCTTGTTAGTTCCAGCGTCTTGGTTGGAACTGTGTGGCAGGAATAATATCTCCCATGTTCTATCACCATCCTGATGGTGCGTCTAGTGTCATTAGAGGTCATAAGAGGTGTCTCTTTGTTAGATCTCACGGGATTTGGTCAGTGTTGGTCTTTGGTGGATCTGTTTGGATCCAGTTTTCGTTTGAGTGTTAATAACAAGTTTGATCATTCCGTTCTACGACTTTCTTCATCGGCTATGGTTGCTGCTCTGGTGCGCTGGTCCTATGGTGCCTTATCACGACGACTTCCCGACTATCTACTACAATAAGGTTTTCTCCGGTTTCGACGAGGAGGGGCGATGACGGTGCGTGTCTTTGGCTCATTCAATGTTTGTTGTAGTCGTCGTTATGTGGTCCATGAACCTGGTTGTAATTTTTGTTACCAATGATGTTCTTTATACTGCGATGATTAATTATGAATAGATCAAAAATTTCTCCAAAGAAATAAGGTAGCAGTGGTACCGAAGCGGCAAGGAGGGTGAGTGTGCATGGATGACCAGGCAAATGATCAGTGCGTTGCGCCCACACGATCGAGGCAGTAGCATATAGATATATCCGTGTAGCCACTAGGCAGTAGATCGATCATGTGTCGACACCGGCGTGGTAAACATGATGCATTTTGCGAGACGCTCTAATCATTTCCCACCTAGGAACGTGTCCCTTTGCAGCTGCTTACCGTGAACGCCATTCCACCCAACCGAGCGAGCCAGCCGGGTTAGCTGCTCGTGTCGTGTGTCGCGGAGGCCGGAGCTGTAGCCCCAGTCGAGGCGCGGGGCCGCGGGCTGACTACCGCTAAGAGCTACAGCCCCGCCACGAGACTGAGCAAGCTTAATTCGCTTTGGCGCCACGCATCGCCGGAAACGTGGGGCGCCGGAGCCTTCCCCCCTGGCTCTGGCTCTGGCTCTCCACCCGCTCGCCCATCGACTTTGACCACAGTGGATGCTGGAGGATAGCTTGAGCTGCAGACAACATATGGACAATGAGCGCGAAATTTAGCAACGGCACTGTTTGCAAGCCTGAAACTGTGGGTCGTTGATGCAGACCAGACCGGCCGGCCAATTCGTCATCTGATGTTTACAGGATGGAATCATGGAAAGGTGCGTGTGGAAGCCTCTAAGTGTGTAAGCTTGGTTGAACAACATCAGAACCGGGCTGACAAGTTACTGATTTCCTTTTTCATTTCTAAATTGAGGTCAGCATTCCATCGCTTCGGAAAAGAGGGAACAGAAAAGGTCAGCATTCAGAAAAAATGACAAAGAACAGCGGATGTTTCGGGCACCAAATTAAGCTCTGACGAGATGAGGCCGAAAAATATGCCTTTCATTCAGCTATTAGTTGGTGGTCTTATTTTGCTTGCTGCACTTGCCATATGGTCTTCATTTGTCTTTGAACCTACTTTGCATCTGTACCACACAATAAGTTTCTGATTTAAGTGTTTTCAGTCTATTTTTCTATTTCTGCTTTAACATAACATAATAACTAACGGTGGCTGCCTCATGATGACAGACTAAGTTTCTCATTTTTTCTTATTAAAGTGTAGATTCATTGGTAGCAATTGTTTTCAGTGTCTCATGTTGCTGATTGTCTACTTTTCAGGATCCATACCATGGTCCTGGCCAGGCCATGGGATTGTCGTTTTCAGTACCAGAGGGGATCAAAATTCCTTCCAGCTTACAAAACATATTTAAAGAGCTGCATAAAGATCTAGGGTGTATTATACCATCCCATGGGAACTTGGAAAGATGGGCTGTGCAGGTAAAATGGTCTGATAAGACATTAGAGTAAATAATATATGCACACAAACAGCAAGTTTATGTTCTTAGTTCACCTTAATATTAATTTCCGTTGCACTACTAGGATCAGTATGTACTAATATACCATGGAACAGTGTGCTCCTTTTCACACGTTACAACCGCAAAGGGCCCAGGCAGTCTTGCAGTTGTATTGCAGAGAGGATATCTATCAAGTCCCCAAAATCATGTTACTCTAGAAGCCCACAAAAACAGTTTTGTGTTTGTTTAGTGTAAATTTGATTAACTGCCCCCCCTCTTCTTATATTCTAGTTTTGGCCAAATCCATGTAAACATATCACAGTTATCAATTGAACTAAGTACATTTTGTTACCATTTATCCCCTATAGGATGCTGCAGAAGCAATTGGTTTGCTACACTATATTTAGTTCTAACAATTAGAATCTACTTGAATGGGCAAGAAGGCGATGATGAACCTGAAACAAGGTAGCTTCATGAGAATTAAGAAATATAGAAAACAATGCCTGCTACAGCCTATGGCCAAACTTGCTCAGATTAGTGCTGTTTCCTCATTTCCCAGCAGCATCCCATAAGTTCTCTTTTAACTTTCTTTCAGAATAGTGCTTACTAACTCGAGAAAAAACATGTATCTTGCAGGGTATTCTTATGCTCAATACCGTGCTAACAGGTCAGCCTGTTTTTCTCATCAGGATTGAACATCTGTTGTTCCTTAGCTCATATTTGTGCACACCAATTTAAATTACTTTATCCACTTGAATCTTGATACAGAAACTATGCCTTGTTTTTTGTTCTATTTAGCTTTGCTTCGCTGTATTCTTGTAGTTGCAACTGTATTTTTCTTTTTTGCTGTATTTGATGTTATTAGTTTCCTCTAGCTTGGTGGGAATTTGTGGATCATTTTCTATTTGGCATTGTAGACCTAGAGTTGATTATCTGAGACAGCTGTTTGTACTATGGGTATGTACGGTAAAAATGGTTTATTTATTATTAAAGCTTCCCATGGCCTTAATGCTAAATAGGATTGCAGGACTTGTTTTCCAGTGCCTCATTTACTGCTGCAGAGTCGAACTATGACCTTGAGATTGTTATATGCTGTAGTCATTGTTCTTTTCGACCTTTAAATTTAGCATTTGAATTTATCTCTTTTAGTGACACACTTGTATGTTGTGGTAAAATTGACCTGTTCGGGAGTTATACCTAGTCTTCAATTTTTTACTGAGCAGTGAGGGAACACCAAGCCAACTCACATGCCAAGAAAGGATGGGAGCAGTTCACTGATGCTGTCATTAAGACAGTATCACAAAAGAAATCAGGATTAGTCTTTATTCTCTGGGGAAACTCGGCTCAAGCGAAGATAAAGTAAGAATTTTCATCTGGAACTCTACAGACTGTAACACAGTCATGCTGAAACAAGGCACTGACATTCAGAGTACATACTTGTTATCTTTGGTCTTTAGGAAAGCAGAGACATTCAGAGTACATGCTTGTTCATTTTTGCAGATTGATTGATGAAACAAAACATCACATTCTAAAATCTGCTCATCCGTCAGGCCTTTCTGCAAACAGAGGTTTCTTTGGATGCAGGTTTGTTTTCCTTTTGGTTTTAGTAAATCTTGTTCAGTGTCTTTTTCATGGGTATATAAATAAAAGAGACATCAACTCCATCCATCGAAACTAAAGGTTGAAAAGGATGGAAAGATGGAGAGAAATGATAAAAGATTTCCCAGTTGCATGTCAGTATGTCACTTGGTGATTCGGGTGGGCACAAGAATAAGAGGACGATTACCATTGACAAGAAATATTGAATCGCTATATTTATCACCACTTGCACTTGTTTGAGGCTAGGCAGTACGAAAACCCACTTCACTAATGGCCCGTATCTCCATCTCTCTCACCGTACATGTTCTCTAGTAGTGGTGTGAACAAACCTTTGACTCTACCTGCACCATTATCTAATGCCACTGTCCGTGCACGCTGATGAACACTCGTCGCTTTCGCATGTCAGTGTCCTGTCTTTAATTACCCAACCCGATATTACTTTCACCTTTAAACTCACTGCTGTCAATGGCTCTGCATAATACGTAACGGCCATTATATCGCGGCATCTCATGCCCTGTTGATGGGGCCGGCCGATCCAAGCAAATCAAACGCTACTTTTCCCACTGTGGTTTTCCTTGAAGGCTCCTCTCGGCTGCTATTATCCACATTATGACTTGTCCTGTTTGTGTCCTGTCTTAAACTTTCCCAACTCGATATTGCTTTCGCCTTTTCACTCAGTGCTGTCAGTGGCTCTGCATAATACGTGGGAAACGATAAAGATTTTCCAGTTGCATGTCAGTATGTCACTAGGGGGATTTGGGTGGTCACAAGAATACAAAGGATGATACCATTGACAATATTGAACTGCTATATTCGTCACCACTTGTTTACTGGCTCCGTATCTTGGTCATTGCACATGCTCCAGTAGCGGGTTATAATAATTTATCCTGATTCCTATGAACGCAATTTTAACTCTACCTGCACCATCATCAAATGCCACTGGCCGTCCACGCCGATGAACACCCTCACTTTCGCCTGTCAGTGTCCTGTCTTAAACTCTCCCGACTCAATATCACTTTCACTTTCGCCTTTTCACTCACTGCTGTTAATGGCTCTGCATAATATCGTACATCGATTAGATCGCGGCATCTCGTGCCCTGTTCATGGGGCCGGCCGATGCAAGCAAATCAAGTGCTACTTTTCCCCTGTGGTTATCTTTGAAGGATTCTCTGAACACTAGTAAATATCCACGTTATGACCTCTCATGTTTGTATATTGAACAGGCACTTTTCGCAGACGAATCAGATCCTGGAGAGGGTTGGGCTATCCACCATCGATTGGCAGCTCTGAGGAATCATCGGAAGACACCATGTGACATGTCTGCCCGACTGAGTGATAACCACCCTTATGATTTTGTGGAAGGTGTCTGTCGTCTTCGGCCATCGTTTTGGAGGCAACTTGAACTCGGTGCTGCTGGTGGAAGTGCCGCTCTGCTTGCTGTTGCACGTCTCGTTTTGCTAGCCCTCCGGTCATACCCTATGATGATCTACTAGTTATGTTATGTACTGTACTTGTCGTGCCAAATGCTGGCTCCTGAAAATGGTTTGGCCCCTTCGGTTGTCGTGTGCGTGCAACTGCTCTCTCCTGCACTAGGTCGTGTCTGATGTACTGTCATTGTATAAATCAGCCTAATATTGTAGTGATGCACTTGTACGTTGCGGTTAAATTGACCTGTTTGCCTAATATAGGTGATTGAAAAGTGCTCAAACATGTCTCCTCAGAACTGTAATGCTGCAATACAGCAGATATTGTTTAGTGTTTAGATACAACTAGTTGACAAACCTAGCCAGTATCACAATAGGCATTGCTCAGTGTGAATTCATCAATTTTTTACAAAGGTCTGTTGCAAAAAAAAAGAGGAAAGTGTCCATAGGCAAAGAGGTTTGAACTGTAGATATTTACCTCAAAGCAAAATTTAGCATGATCTATACCTAAATCATCAGGCTTTTTAGATACAGCTGCAAATACTGCAACAAATACCACCATTTTAATATAATTGCTCAGAAGTATGCATAAGGAAAAGAATATAATGATAGAAAAGGATTAGATTCTAGAGAGAACAAGTTAGTCTCATATACAGAGTACAGATTCAAAATCATCACCTACAAAACACTTTGGGTAGCACAATCTGTACTGAGTGGCTTTAGGCAGATATCAGCCAGGGATAATATCGATCCAAAATAATTGGCACGTAGATCATCAAAAGAGACATTAGAAGCACTAAGCAGTTGCAGTGCAAAATTTACATGACTGGATTCCATACCTTTTTCTGAATCTGAAATAGCAATTTGAAATTGTTATCATTTACTATTATTGTAGGAGCTTCAGGCTGGTCAGATGCGAAAGTGGCTAATACAATCTGCAGTTAAAACAGTAATTAACAAAAAAGAAATACTATGTTAACTTGGCATGGATGCCTCATCCGTGAACATTTTTTGAAATTCCAGAACTTTTCTTAAATTTGTGAACAAAAAATCCAAGAACGGGCACCTTTTTTGAAATTCCAGAGCTGTTTCTGTAATTCCAGAACATTTTTCAAAATTGTATACAATATTTGAAAACAAGAATATTTTTTGGTATTCCAAACAGTATTTCAAATTTTTGAATAGGTTTCAAAAAGAATGATAATGTCAAAAATGAGAAAATTAATTAAGTAAAAACGAAAAGAAAAAAGAAAATAGAAAAGAAATTCTTAGGCCTCGGCCCAACTAGGGGACCGTATCGCTCCAGTCGGGCAACCGTTGGACCGGCCCAAGCGTTTATGCATTTCAAAAAAAGTTCATCGATTTTGAAAAAAAAATCACGAATCTGAAAAAAATATCGGGGGCTTTAAAAAAGTTCGTAAAAGTTGAATAGAGTTCGTGGATTTAAAAAAAAGTTCATGGATTGTAAAAGTTCATAAATTTAAGAAAATGTTCATGAATTTGAAAAGTTCACAGATTTAAGGAAAAAATCACGATTTAAAAATAGTTTGCGAATTCTGAAAAATAATATGAAAAAGGAAAAAAGAAGAGAAGTAATAAAAATAAAAGAAAATATGGACAAACAAAAAACGAAAAAAAACTAGCTCGCATTGGTTAGTGTTATATTTGAAGAAGAAAAAAGAAGGTAGCTTGACACAACAAGAAAGTAGTCTAGTTGGTTACCATGGTTGTACTAAATGTACATGTGCTAGGTTTGATTCGAATTTCGTCGGACACTCATTTTTTGAAGGTTTATAGAAGAGGAAAAAAGTGTAAAATGGGCCGGCCCAGGGCGGTACGTAGACATGTGGCGTATCGCGCTCGGCGCGGGCGACGTATTTTAAAAAACGAGCATCCTACCCTTTATTATGAAGTGGTATGGAGAGATCTTCTCCCTTGTTGTATTTTTGGAGGGTGTAAGGAAGCAAAAGTGTCAAATTGTTCTTCCTATTTTTTGCGTTTGCAGGGTTCTTAGCGTCATGTAATAATTAATGATGTTTGCTTAATGATAAAAGTGCACAAGACACCACAAGTTCTATTTCTTGCAAAGGTTTAGATTTAATTTATCTGTAGCATTGTTTCAGCATTTTATGCTGCAGATTGTCTACTTTTCATTATCCATACCATGGTCCTGGCCATGGGGTTGTCATTTTCAGTACCAGAGGAGATCAAAATTTCTTCCAGCTTACAAAACATATTTAAAGAGCTGTATAAAGATCTAGAGTGTACTATACCATCCCATGGGAATTTGGAAAGATGGGCTGTGCTGGTAAAATGGTCCAATTAAACGTTAGAGTAAATAATACACACACACAAATACATTCTTAGTTTACCTTAATATCCACTTCCATTGCACTTTGAGGATCGGTATGTACTAATGTACCATGAAACGATGTGTTCTTTTAACATGTGACAACCCCAAAGGGCTCAGGCAGTCCTGCAGTTGTATTGCAGAGAGAATATCTATCAATTCCTCCAAATCATGTGCCTTCACTCTAGAAGTCCATAAAAACAGTTTTGTGTAAATTTGATTAACTATCCCTCTCTTCTTTTGTTCTTGTTTTGGCCAAATCCATGTCGACATGTCACTACAGTTATCAATGGAACTAAGCAATTTTAAAATTTCTTACCATTTATCCAATGTAGGATGTTGCAGAAGCAATTGGTTTGCTACACTATATCTTGTTCTAACAATAAGAATCTACTTGAATGGACAAGAAGGCGATAATGAACTTGAAACAAGGTAGCTTCATGAGAATTAAGACACATAGAAAATAATGCCTGCTACAACCTAGCTATGGCTATATTTGCTTATACTAGATGATACCCCGCGCATTGCTGCAGGAGATTTCTTGCAATATTATTTTCATGAAATCTAAATAGATATGATATATTGTATTTGATTATTATAGAGTTGTGAATATATAGAATATAAGTAGTATTTCTCATGCATGTTGAGATATATAATTAGTATGATTCATGAGGTGGCATGTGTGGAAAGTTTAGATGTGTGCATTTTGAGAGAGAGTATAAATAGCATTTCTCATGCATGTTAAGAGAAATAATTAGTGGGAGATGATGTGGCATGTGTTTTGAGGTGGCATGTGAGCATATTGAGAGAGAGAGAGTATAAACAACATTTCCCATGCGTGTTAAGAGAAATAATTAATGGGAGATGACGTGGCATGTGTAGTGAGGTAGCATGTGTGCATGTTGAGAGAATTGAGATAGTGGGGACAACTATTTAGGTATAATATAGGATTACTGTTGTTTCCTCATTTCCCAGCAGCACATCAGAAGCTGTCTTTTAACTTTCTTTTCGAGACGTGTTCACTAACTCAAAAAATAACTTGTATCTTGCAGGGTATTCTTATGCTCAATACCGTGCTAACAGGTAAGCCGTTTTTTTCTTCTCATCAAGATGAAACATCCGTTGTTCCTTAGGCCTTATTCGTGCACATCAATTGAAATTACTTTATGCACTTGAATCTTGATTACAGAAACTATGTTTTTTCTTCTATTTAGCTATTCTTCACTTTTATTCCTGTAGTTGCAACATATTTCTCTTTTTTTTCATATTTGATGTTATTAGCTTAGTCTAAATTGGTTGCACATTGTCGATCCTTTTCTGTTTAGTACTGTAGACCTAAATTTGGAGACCGCGGTTATTGAATTGATCTCCTTTAGTGGTGCACTTGTATGTTGCAGTAGAACTGGCATGTTCGGGAGTTATATCTGGCTAAATAGTTTTCAAAAAAAGATCCGAGTATTGTGGGGACACCAAACAACTCACATGCCAAGGAAGGTTGGGAGCAGTTCACCGATGCCTTCATCAAGGCAATATCATTTTTTTTACGCTGCTACGGCGGGCAAAAGCCGGCCTGAACAATTTTCATTTTCAAAACCAAGATCGAGATACAAACACAACGGCTACAACAAGTAGCACCCAACCCACAAGAAAGGGACAAGGAACAATAGAAGAAGAACCAGAAGCACGCTACAACAAGCAGCCAACACCAAGAACTTAGCATCCATCATTAGTAGGTAGACCGAGAAGAGCAGGAACTAGCATTGTTGGATCGGATGAAAGGAGCTTGGATACCGAGAAGACGTTGAGGAGAAGTCGTCTGCTGCCCTGCGATCACTCATCACTTTGAAGAACTAGGAGAGTCGCAGCCACCGTCGAAGGGTTTCCCCTTGCCTAGCCACGACGCGACAGAGAGGGCCGCTGACCGTGCCGAAGGGCAATGTTTCGCCGAGACAGCCCTGCACCTCCTCTGAGCCACATCATGACCTCCATCACAGATAGAGAGAGCCAGAACACTATGCGAGACAACAAAACCTCAAGCGTCGTCGAAGGGCACCAAACTCCGAGTTGTCACCGCCGCCACGAGCCCCCAAGAGAGAGGTCGACCAACAGCCCCAAGATGACCAAGGCAAAGGCTGCCGCCACATATCACTTCCACCGCCGCCACCAAGCAGACCAACAGACCAACAATGCTCCAACTGAGACACCAAGCAACCTACGACGAATCCATGGCTCCAAGACTATGCCCCCAAGGGGGAAACGACATCAAAGATGGCGTCATCGTCCAATCCAAGGAAGGATTTTAGGCTTTCACCCGGAGCACAACAAGAACAGGCTATGAAGCTTCACAATGATGCCTTCAAGAAGGAAGTGGCGCCCGAGGGCGTCACCATCATCGCTGCCGACAAGGTCAGCAGTAGGCCTTCGCCTGAAGCTTCGCAACCTGCACCTCACTGCCACACATAGGACGCCGAGTCCGGCAAGCACATGAGCGCGAGACCTCACCTCCCCCTGTCAGA